ACTTCAATGCTGGATAATCAGATCTTGAATGCTTTGGTGAATATCACAAGTGTTCAAGTGATGTTTTGTTGTAATGCTTCTTGTTAATATCCTTTGAATGACATCACTTAGATGATGTAAACACTTGGTTGGTAAAAAACCCTTCCCAATGGGAAGTGACTGATGTACTGTTTCTGTACTGTAGCATTTACAGTGCAGGCAGTCACTTTTCAGTTGTAGAGTTGACTTCGTACTGCTGTCAGGGAAACTCAAAGGGATCAGGTTCTTGAGGTGATTCTTTTCTGTTTGAAGTCATACATCACACATTAGCTTGAGTCCGTTGATAGAGATATATACCAAGTGTACATCAGGTCCTTTATCTGGTTCTTAACAATAAATTTGTTAGATCATCAAAACATAATTCTAAAATACTTTAAACCCATAACTAGCAAAGTTTGACTTTGTTGTTGGAATTCTAGTGACAGGCTTCGCGAGGCCGTTTCGGTTTATTCATAGCTGAGCATTATTTGGGAAGTTAAAGCTATCGTCTTGCAACAATGACTCGTTTTTTGTAGGAAAAAAAGGGGTAAGAGAGATCTGATACATATACATAAATGAAAAAACATTAAATCCCGTACTAGTTTTTGATTAAACTACTCTCGGGGTACGTGCGTTGCGCGTATACCCCATATTAATGAGTATTAAACTTTAAAAATTAACATAAATATTATATTTAATACTAATGTGTTTGAAAGTATAAATTCCTAATAATAATAATAATAATTGGTGGTCTTATTTATCTAACTCAATAAGAAAAACTCAATGCACACCTTAAAACTAAAATTCCTAATTTGATGAACTTCGTAATTTCTTAAGAACTAAAATTAATAGAAGGAAAAGATAAAGTGAGATAGAAAAATCACGTACCATCTTTTAAAACTAAACTTCCTTAAAATATTTACGATGAAGAATGTGAATTAGTACCAAAAAAAATTCTACAATGATTATTTTTTATGAGACAAGGAGAATTATTTACCAGAATTAATGAAACTAATAAAATTCTGACCTGATGCAATGACAATAATTTCTAATATTTAATTCTTAAATAACACAATTTAAAATCATGTAATATATATATAATACATTCAATTAAAAGTCGGATTTACTTTTTTCCTACGAAATATGAGGAACTTGAGCTGACATAACAATTAGTAATCTAAATATAAAACATAGTGTAAACATTATCTTGAATTAATAAGATTTTTAGTTGGTATGATCAATTATAATGCCTAATCAATTTTCTGTTACGAAATACATAACCCTAACGACCAACACAAAAATTATAAATAATTAAATTTTAAATTGATAATCGTACGGGAGACATTGTTAGCAAAAAATCACAACCGGTAGCTTTTTAATTTGTAATTATGTGTGAAGAATACACCACCATCTATTATTGCATAACTTCAAGAATAACTTGAAGGTTAAAAATTTACCTTGAACCACAAACAAGTTTACCTCCTCATAAGTGACAATATTTAGTGATACTGTCAAAAAGTTTATGATGAAGAATATGAAATATTCTCTTATATATATATATATATNTAGGACAATTTAGCTAGATAAAAGAATCCTAAACATAACATTACATTAACTGATGTGATACTATTTGTGTGAATCGACCTTTTTAATGAAAACAAGCTAAAGTTTTGTATTTCGACAATTATGATTTCTCACAAAACAATAATGTATTTTACCACAAACAAATACATGTGGTAAGTCTAATTTGAAATTAGATTAGGCACGTAGGACATTACACATTAAAACAAAAAGATGTAAGGAATTATAGTTTTGTTACATAATTTAAATAAGAAAAAATTTATATAAGGTAAATTTTAATGAATTTGAAAGTCCTAAATATTAAAAATTTCTACATATTTCAAATAAGGAAAGACTTAATAACCAAAATTTTAGTTGATTTTAATATCCTATGTATTAGGAAGATAACTTAAATTACGATTATATTTAATGTAAAATCTATTTTTAAAGGGTAAAAAAGGCGAACGACATTTCGTTAAGTGGCTTAGTGCTTTTAATATAGTACTAGTCTTAGGGTACGCGCGTTGCGCGTGTACCCTACTATCAGTGAGTACAAAATTTTAAAAATTACACAAATATTATTAAATAATATGTTTTAGCTACTAAATATAAATTATAATATAGTATAAGTTCCTGAAATAATGTATGCCAATTCTATTTAGTTAACTCGATAAAAGAAAAAATTTACGCCATATATAAATCACCAAATGCCGTATTTATAACTTTTCCATATGTGCTGAATAAACTGCCAGAGAGAAGCATAAGGTGTTGATGTATATTCTATGTTATTTACAATAATATTTCAACTCTTATATAACTTTTACGCTTCTCTAAGAAAATAATTTGAAAAGGCAAGCTCTAATATTGCAAGCCTGTAAGAGAAATTATTGAGTTTGAGGACAATTCAAGCTTATCAAACCCATGATGGTTATGAAAGAGTCCTAATTGATGTAGGGTTCGATTAAAAATTTGATTAATATTCATTTTTCTTCTTGTAAGGTTTTACTTTAGTATGAGGATGGAGGGTAGTGGCAAAAAGCCGAGAGCTAGAGAATTTAATTCCTTGTGATTTTTGGATTTGCCTCCAACTTACCATAGTTGTGCGATTATATATTTTTTTAGATTAATTAGTAGAATATACTTGAGGTAAAGAAATTAATTTATAGAAGATTGTAACAATAATCTCTTCATCTACTCTAAAATTAGGTACTCGAACTTGATGTATTACGTTAAGTGTCTTATCATAAGAATTTTTAAGATGTGATAGTTTAATTAATGAGTATGGTTATGCTGAAAAATTGAAGAAATTATACCTAATAATATCTATTAAAATGAGTTTATATTTTTCACACATAATGTTATATGATTGAAGAGTAAAAACGCTGTGTGACTTAAAATTGGCTGTTTGAGCTATTAATTTTTTTATTTTGGTTCATCCCACTTTTGTTTTGGGGGTAAATGCATTGAGAAAGAAGCATGAAATTTTACCTTAAAGTACAACATTTCTCAAATAATATGATTGTGTGTTTTTCTTCAAAATCGATATGTATATAACAAACTATTTGATTTTACCTTAACCAATTTATTTTTATTTTTATAAATACTGTTTTTGATGTAATAAATTCTTTATTTTTTCTTCTTTGTGGTCATGATTAATATATTAGTTTTTTTTGTCTAAATATATTCATATTTATTATTATCAGTGTTGGTGACTTACCTCAGTAAAACTTTCGTTGCCTTCAACTTATTCATAATCTGGTGTGGCAATATAAATAAATGCCATATCTATTTTTCGTTTCTTAGTTTGTCTTTTATGTCCTCTTTGATAACTCTTGAAACCAATAGTCAAATAATTTTTATTTTTTTTATTGATATTCTAGTTTTTCTCTGCTTGCTTTCCAATAAATGATTATCAATTTCCTGTTACAAACAGATGCTTACTATCTTTTTTCAGCAATGATTACTATTCCGAAAATTAATGATAGACACTAAATTTTAAAAATAGAAAAAATATACAATTTAATAACCAAGCTTTTAAATAAATATTTACTGTTTGAAATTTTGATTAAAATACAAAGGACAAATGATACGAAAATTGTTGTGGAGTTTCCTCGTAGGAAAAAAAAACTTTCCTTATACTTTTAATAGTTAGTATATAGCTTAGTTGATGAGTTGAGACTATTTTGTTTTTTCTTCTCTTTGTAACGAACTTTAAACTCCTTATAATTTTAAATATTAAAACTTCTTACTTAATTCAAATAAGGAAGATTTAAAAAAATAGTTATAAGGAAAATAATTAAATGACTATTCCTAATTAGTAGAAAATTTATTAAATGCTACTCCTAAATATTAGAAAAATTAATTGAATGACTATTTTGTCCAATGAGAACTCTATTTTAAAAGGGTAAAAAAGACGAACGACATTTCACTAAGGGCCTTCGTGCTTTTAATATAGTATAGATAAATAAATAAATATAGATATAGATAAGAGAATGCGGATATAACTACTTAAAAGAGTACTAGTAAATTGGTTATTTTGCCCTATATTTTCTTAATTTGCCGACATAGAATTGCTACAAGTAAAGTGAAATAAGAGAGAGAAATCTATTGTTTGAAACTACAAGAAACATAATTGTGATACACCTAATCCTCAACCACTAAACTGTGATTTTGGATTGTGTTAAGGGAATTCAAAACATAATATATAGAGATAAAAAATAAATTTTGCCTTATATATATACAAAGTAATTTTTCCTTCCGCCCCTAAATCCGTATGTAACTATACTTCAATATACTTATTTTATCTTACTGATAGATTATATACAAATATATATACTATTATACTCCAAAGAAAAACTTTAATGGAAAACTGGAAGGGAACCACTATAATAAATGATGCTGATTATATATACAATAAATGCTTAGGGGTCCATGAAGTCACCATTAGCCACCTATCAATTAATGAGGAAGATAAGTAGCTCAACTCCCAGAAATCTGTAACCAAATGGTGAAACCATCAAATCCTACACAACATTTCATTTATGTTTTTATTATTTATTTTTTGGGAAGCAATGAACGCTGCATTTATGATTTTATACGGCGTGATCGTGTTTGATGTGTATACCAGCTTGAATGCTAGAGCGATCTACACCACAATTTCTTTTTTGGTTAAAAGTGGTCTTTGATATGTCATCTTTTCTTATAATGATGTTGTCCAGTCCGATTCAGTTTGTATGCATTTCGACTATTTCACTTGGTACCGCTGACCTTCGAGCAACACCAATATTCAATAACTGTCTAACACGATTTAGACAAAATGACGACAAAATGACTCAGTCTCTCATGGTTTTCACCCATTTTATTTAGTGTAAGTTTTTGTTTTCTCACTAGTCAGTCAAGTTAATTTATATCTAGTCTTCCTCTCAATTTCAACTCATCAGTCAGTCAAATACACCTATCACGGTCAATTGCTTTTATTACATTTCTTTCAAAGACTTGATTTTTCTAACATCCCCATCTTCCTCTTATTTTCTTTCTTGAACTTGGCTATAAGAGGAAATTAGTTACCTTGAAAGTGGGGGTTAAATCTTCTGCTTTCCATTCCTTTTCTCCCACTAATTACAAGTGCAAGGAAGAAACTGATGGAGGGGAAGGCAAAAGCAACAGCAATGGAGCCAAACAATGATGTAATTCTTTCTGAACACAGACTGAAGCAGGAATCAATAGTAAAAGAAGAGATTCAAGTGCAATGCAACGACACAATTACTGAACAAGAGAATTACAAAATTGAACTGATGAGAGCTGTTGTTGAAAAGAAAGATCCTTCTTCCAAGGTATTACTATACTATTTCCCGCAGCATTGCAGCATTTCTCTCTCTTTCTACTATCCTTGTTAGCTTTCTTTTTTCCTATTGGAGAAAAAGATCAAGACTTTTTATCAAAACTAAAAGGATTTTGTTGCTTGTTTCCAGGAAGTAGATGAATATGCATTAAGAAGGTTTCTTCGAGCTCGAGATCTTGACGTAGAAAAAGCATCAGCAATGTTCTTGAAATACCTTAAATGGAGGCAAAGCTTTGTACCAAAAGGATCCATTTCAGTGTGTGAGATACCAAACGAGATAGCACAGAACAAGATGTTCATGCAAGGCGTAGACAAACAAGGACGTCCTATTGCTGTAGTTTTTGGTGGCAGGCATATTCAAAATAAAATAGGAGGTGTTGAAGAGTTCAAACGTACGACTTTCCTTGTACCTTTTTATCTAATTTCACTTGGCCTACTGCCTCGTGGTCAGTGAAGATGGCTTTTGAACCAGTCAATTTCTCACACTCAAAGTTTTTCTTTGATTCCTCAGGTTTTATAGTCTTCGCTCTAGACAAACTGTGCGCAAGGTACAGTAATTTAAACAATACTAGTAGCTTTGTTTCTTTCCTTTTTCCTTTCCAAAATCAGTTGAAAACATCAGCAACAAACTCCACCAATGGCGGAGCCAGGATTTTCATTAAGGGGAGTCAAAATATAAAGAAATAAACTAACCAAGAAGTCAAGGGGTGTCATTATATAGTATATATTTTAAAAACAAATTACCGAGCTATACAGTGTAATTTTCTGGCGAAGGGTGTCGGTTGACACCCCTTTGGTGTATGTGGCTCCGCCACTGAACTCCACCATGGAAGACCTGTTTTCCAAAAAACAAATTATTGAGTACTAGAATATTACTATTCAAAAAGAGTGGAATAGTTATTGAGAATGAAAAAACACATCATAAATAATGGGGTTTTATTGATGAATCAGGACCTCACCAGGAAGAGAGAAGTTCGTGATAATCGGAGATCTCCAAGGTTTTGGCTACTCAAACAGTGATGTTCGTGCCTATCTTGCGGCTCTATCTATCGTACAGGTTTAGTTAACTTCATTCTTTCCTAGGAATAGAAGCTTACCCTATTCTAGTCCTTAATCTAAAAGACATCCATTTTGCAGGATTGTTACCCAGAAAGACTCGGAAAAGTACTTCTTGTTAATGCCCCCTACTTATTTTGCACATTATGGAAGATGTTGTATCCTTTCATAGACAATAACACCAAGAAAAAAGTGAGGTTCTAATCTTTCTATTTTGCATAAAAGGTAGATAAACCAATGCTAGAGCTCAGTCATGCGCATGACTGTTGACTATAACTTGTATCACATCATCTTCACCAAACTAATTTCCATATTCACAGATCATGTTTGTGGAAAGCAAACGACTTAGAGCAACCTTACTTCAAGATATCGATGAAAGCCAGCTTCCGGAGGCTTATGGAGGCAAAATGCCATTAGTTCCTATACAGGACGCCTAAGCAAGTAATTGCACTATGCCTTTAGCTCACTCGAGAAGTTTCAACCTGATCGAGTTGACAATGCTCTCTTCTAATAGCTGTGAGGGGGAAAAAATAGCTATGAGGAACAATATTGCAAATATACATTCTACATTTATATGCGTTTTTAAATATTCAGCTTCTACATAAAAAGTATGTATTGTTGTCCACCTGATCTTCTAGTTCATTGGCTTTCTTTTGATGTTTTCAACTTCCACTCCATCAAACATTTTGACAAGACAAACTGGATAGCTGCCATCTTCGGTGGATGCGCTCATTCACTAAAAGGCGGATAGGGCACTGAGCTCTTGATCTCAATTCTGCAACAAGTGGAAAAGAGTTATAACTGAGTTCAATCAAATCGTTTTTATATTTTGCAGCGGTTAAATGCATTACCTTTTTATTTTTTTTTGGCTATTCTGTTGAGGTAAGATACACCCACTGTATAGCTCATGACATTTCCATAGATGAGTTACTTGCAAATATAGTCATACTACTACAGTTAAAGTTGAGCATACTTGAAGAGAAACTGCATTGAGCATGAGCCCAGTGGCTGCAGAAGCAAGAGAACCTTAAAAGCAGCTACCTCCTAGCATTTTGTGTGTGTTTCCTTTAGCCTGCAACATCTCTAATTCCATGCTCACCCTCAGAGCCTTCTCTTGTACAGGTGAAGGGCAAAAGTCTAAGGTTAAATTAGCACATAGAGATTTGGGCAACTTCTTGACCTGATTAATGAGTATTCTTTAAGTAAGCCAAACAGTACCACTTTATACTAACAACGCGTTATAGTGAAAATTCACCAGAGAAACATCTTTTTAGTTGTTATACACCTAAATTAATATACAAAAATGTCCCCATTCTAACAGTTTAAATCTTTAGATAAGGCAGTTCATATAATAAAACATTAATCGTACTACACACAGGTCTTGGCTTCAAGTTCCATCACCACCCAACACAGAAAATATTTCCATGTGCATAGCTCAAGAAAAAGAATCACAGCAGCACATGAGATGACATGCAGTAAACCTGAAATAAATAAATTAAAGTATTTCCTTTCTATTAGTTTAAACTTTCAAATGCGGCATTCACACAATTCAACAGTAGTCCTATGGTATTCAATAGAAAGAGGCAGGGCAATTGTAATTATATTGCCTATTAAATACTTGAATTGGTAGGGAGTTTGATCATATACTTCCGGAATTTGATTTCCAATGTAAAAGAAGAGAACTACCACAAACATGTCCAGCAATGCAGAACCATCTTTTATCTGAGAAACTTACAACGCCTTCACTGCATCATCGGAAAACTTGCATTCTGTAAACAAATGCAATAAATTCTCTGATAATCAATTAAAGTAAAGGAAAATATTGTTTATGCTTTTCTCTTTTTCCCCTTTTAATGGGATGAGGGTGGGGTTCATACAATATCTTTGACAAAAGATAACAATTTTTTTTTTTTTTTGAGAAGGTAAAGTATCCAGTCTATTAAAAAACACTTCAGCACAAATTTTGTGCTGGAAGCCAAAATAGGCAATTACAATATGGAAAAGCAAAAATATAGTCCTTGTTCTTCTTACAAGGAACTCAAAACATCTAGGATTGAATCAGGATCCTCTACATATTCTGATTTACACCAAAAACAAAAAAGAAGAATACACTTCATCTTAATCTTTTGTAGAGAGTTGGTTGTATCTTCAAAGCATCTCAGGTTCCTTTCTTTCCAAATTGTCCACCAAATAGTTGCTGGGACAATTTTCCATCTGTTTTTGTCTGTGGTAAACTCTATCTCTGTGTTCCAGCATAATAAAAGCTCAGAGGTTCTCCCTGGCATTACCCATCTAGCACCTCTGAGATTAATGAACAGATCCCATAATTGGCTGGTCACTCTACAATAAAGAAACAGATGGCTGATTGTCTCAGCATCATTCCCACACAAATAACATCTTGAAACAATTGGTATACCCCTCTTCCTTAGATTATCCCGAGTGAGGACAGACTCCCTAATTACCAACCAGGTGAAACATGCCACTTTATAAGGTACTTTTACTTTCCATATGTGTTTCCAAGGCCATAAACTGAGTTGAGATCCTTCCCGGTTCAAATCTTTGTATGCTGAGCTGACTGAATACATCCCATTACTATGTTTTTGCCATCTGAGTGTATCTTCACCCTCCTGTAGTCCACTACATTGTTCTAGTGTTCTATAAAACTCAATCATTCTAGGCACCTCCCAATCCTGTAGGAATCTTCTGAATGTCAGATTCCAAC